AAGTAGTAAGAAGCAGCATCATATAATTCAGTGTTTCCTTTGTTTATTGTGGTTCTCTATATGCCTTAAAGAGCCTTTGGACTTCCCTGGTGGCCCAGTGGTTAAGAATCCGCCTGCCAATGGAGGGGACACGGGTTCGAGCCCTGGTCCGGGAAGATCCCACATGCCGCGGAGCAACTAAGCCCGTGTGCCGTGGCCGCTGAGCCTGCGCTCTAGAGCCCGCGAGCCACAACTGCTGAGCCCGCAAGCCACAACTACTGAAGCCCGCGCGCCTAGAGCCCGTGCTTCGCAACAAGAGAAGCCACCACAGTGAGAAGCCCGCGCACCGCAACAAAGAGTAGCCCCCGCTCGCCACAACTAGAGAAAGCCCACGTGCAGCAACGAAGACCCAATGCAGCCAAAAGTAAAAATAAAATAAAATAAATAAATCTATTTTAAAAAGTAGAGCCTTCTCTAAGAGGAATTTTCCATTGAATACCAGGCAGGGCGGAGGGCGTGTGTGGGTGAGTGTTCCTTTGATAATCCAGGCATGGTCTTCTGGATCATGGAGTTTTTTAAATTCTAAAAGCTTAGACATTGACTAATCCGCCACACCATGATACGGTTAAACTGCCCTGTCTTTCGTGGGCTTGTGTTTCTTTTGGGAAGATATGTATCAGAAATCTCCATAATCGCCAGGACTTAAGCTTCAGTTCTCTGACCTTAGAGAAGTTTAAACCACATCAGAGCTGGGCAGGCAGTCACCCTGGTGCCCCTTAGATTATAACTTAATCTAAGTTATAGACATATTTTATCTCTCTCCAGGATTCATTTCTTTTTCTTGACTGTTTACATTTTTTATCTCTCTCCAGGATTCATTTCTTTTTCTTGACTGTTCACATTTCCCTCTATTTCCATTTTCCTTTTAAAAGTGTTTATTCTTCAGGAAATAAGTAACTACTAGATGGTGTGCTTAGAGGCAATTGGGGTGTGTTCAGGTAATTACTTGTTGGATATTTAGGAGTCCGAGGACGTGTAATCCTTTTTTCTTTAATCTCATTGAAGTAGAGTTGATTTACAGTGTTGTTAATTTCTTCTGTGCAGCACAGTGACTCAGCTGCACACATATATTCTTTTTCATACTCTCGTCCATTGTGGTTTGTCACAGGACACTGAGTATCGTGCCCTGTGTAATTCCTTTTTAAGGTGCTCCGCTGACAGCTCTCCGTGGTTCTGTGTGTCCCTGGAGCCTGCACACGTGGGGGCACCATGCTGTGTTCGGGCTGCACGTGCTTCCCTGCCCTGTCACCGCTGTGCTTGACCTGGTCCATCTTAAGTTTGTCCCCTTTCTCGAGGGCCCGGTCCTGGGCTAGGAGCTAGCTGAGAGTCCAGGGAGAGAAGAGTCAGCCCCTCCTTCAGGGGCTGGGCTCTCGACCCCCTGTCCGTTTGTCCCAACCTTCAGACCTAGCCTTCCTGTGTGCTACGTCTGTGCTCAGGTTTCCACTGGTGATTTAAAAATGGCTTAGCTCACTTCCTTTCTTTCACAGTTCTCTGACCCATTTCGTTCTTCCTCGTAAGATACCTGAGCCAACCCCTCTGTCCCTCCTCTGCTGTTACTACCCCTGGGTCTGCAGCCTCCTGGGCTCACTGGGACCTGGGCAGCCTTCCATGCATCGCTTCCCCAGTGAGCCTCGCTGCCCTCGTGCCAGTGGCTCACTTCCGAAGGCGGAGCTCTGTGTGTGGTTATGGGGCCCCATAAGCTGCTGTCTGTGTGCTTTCCTCGGGTCCACACACTGCTCCCTTCCCTGTCACGATGCTGGGGAAGTCATTTAGGAAATTGTGCTGAGTTGGAAACTAGGGCCCAAATTATCTACTGCAGACAATTAATCCAACAAAAGCTAGATTTTTACCCCAGCCCTTCTCAGCCTGCTGGCCCCCTGCTCACAGGGAAATCTCAGGGGAGGAGCATCTGACTGGCCTGGCTTGGGTCCTTTTACCACACCTTGCTAGAGGGAGGTGAGTGAAATCCAGGTGAAAGGGGATTGGCATGCATTCCACTCACCGTACGTACGTTGGCCTCTGGTATTTAATGATTATATATATACTTTCGGAACGCAAGTCCGTTGAAGAAAAGGTCTCACTGTAGATCCGTTGTGTGCTATACCCAGCACACTGTGAATTTCTGATAAATGCAAAGCACTGAAGGAACTTGAGCTCAAAATACAAATCTTTTAAATTTCCAAATTTCCATTTCCTTTGGTCATAAGGACCAGGTACACCAATGGCAAGTCATCGTCCTCTTGCTGTGAATTTATGACATACGGATTGAGCAAGGACTTGCAGGAACTTGTAAAGGGAAGTCATTGCAGCCCGGTCGTTACTTTCTACTTTGGAGAGTGTGCGAGAAGCGTAGGACAGAGGGGTCATAAAAACCTGTGGGTGAGAGTGGGAATTTAAGGTCATTGTGTGTGTGTGCATTTCGACTGTTCGGTAGCAAGTCTTAAAGAATGAGAGCCATCCTTGGGAAACTGGGCTTCATTCATTCAGGAATCTGCTTTGCCATATTCTTTCTCACGCTTAACCTGTGCTTAAATAAATGTTGGGCCACTAGACTTTGCCTGATTTGCTCTTCTTTTCAATGGGAAAAATATTCTAAAACGTGAAAGTTTCCATCCTGGATATAGTTGAGGAAAAAAATGTTGGTCTCACCAAAGTTCTCATTCAGTCACTTCCCCATCTGTGACAAAGAACACAAAGACTGAGTGGAAAAGCCCCCAAGGAGGGAGCCAGATCGCCTGGTGAAAGTACAGCGTGACAGCAAACAGCTGGGTTTCTATCATCGGCCTTCCCACTACTAGTGTTAAGTCTCAAAAATCTCGGGTCTCGGTCACCCGAGACAAGGTCGTGTATCTGTGTGGGTTCTTTGCTGCAAGCAGCAGAAACCGACTCTTGTTAATATAGCCGGAAGGGACTTCACTGGAGGGATGTTAGGGATTCTTAGAAATGGTCAGGAGACCGAAGAACTAGGGTTGGGGCCGGCAGGAAACAAGGCACCTGTGGAAGTGCAGGAACCAAGAATCGCTGTGGGTATTCGTGGCGGCTTTTGTCAAGCAGGAGTGCGGTGACCCCAGCTGCTCCCGGCCTCCTGGCCGCCTGCTCCAGGCAGGCGGCCGGGAGGGAGAGTCTGATTGGCCCAGCTTGGGCCCTGTTCCCACCCTGTGACGGAGGGAGGGGCCTCCAGGATTTTCCCGGGAAAGGTCCTTCTCCAGAGGGGAATCAGGACGAACCTAGCGCGAGGAACTATGGCCCAGCAGCCAAAGCAGCGAAGGGCCACCACAGGGCAGCGGAAGGAACCGCGTGACAGGAGGAGGCCACGCCCGCTGTGCCTTCAGTGACTGAGGCTCAGAAAGGTGTGCTCGCGGACGCCGGCTTCGAGGCGCGTTGCGTCTGTCTCCGGCTCACTGCGTACCTGCCCACCCCCTCCTCTCTCCTAGTTTGGGGCTGGAGGGAAGTCTGTTGTGCCCTTGATTTGCACACGTGTGGGATCCTGAACACGTGTGTCAGGAGCTAGTGGTGAAGCAGTTATACTGTGATCAGTTTTGAGAAATTCAATTTTTTAGGCCGTTTTGTTTTTAATTAATTTTTTGGGAGTATAGTTGATTTACAATGTTATGTTAGTTTCTGCTGTGCAGCAAAGTGAATCAGTTATACGTATACATAGATCCACTCTTTTTAGATTCTTTTCCCATACAGGTCATTACAGAGCATTGAATAGAGTTCCCTGTGCTATAGGTACTTATTAGTTATCTATTTTATATGTAGCAGTGTATATATGTATCCCAGTCTCCCAATGTATCCCTCCCCCTTCCCCCCCCACCATAACCATAAGTTTGTTTTCTACATCTGTGACTCTATTTCTGTTTTGTAAATAAGTTCATTTGTACCGTTTTTTTGTATTCCACATATAAGCGATATCATACAATATTTGTCTTTCTCTGTCTGACTTACTTCACTCTGTATGACAATCTCTGGGTCCATCCATGTTTCTGAAAATGGCATTATTTCATTCTTTTTTATGGCTGAGTAATATTCCATTGTATATGTGTACCACATCTTCTTTATTCATTCCTCTGTCGATGGACACTTAGGTTGCTTCCATGTCCTGGCTATGGTCAGTAGTGCTGCAGTGAACATCAAGGTGCATGCATCCTTCCGAATTATGGTTTTCTCTGGATATATGCCCAAGAGTGGGATTGCTGGGTCATATGGTAGCTCTGTTTTTAGTTTTTAGTTTTTTAGGGAACCTCCATACTGTTCTCCATAGTGGTTGTACCAGTTTACATTCCCACCAACAGTGCAGCAGGGTTCCCTTTCCTCCACACCCTCTCCAGTGTTTATCGTTTGTAGACTTTTTCATGATGGCCATTCCGACCAGTGTGAGGTGATACCTCATTGTAATCTTGATTTGCATTTCTCTAATAATTAGTGATGTTGAGCGCCTTTTCACGTGCCTCTTGTAGGCCGTTTTCCTGGACTGCGTCAGTGTTCACCCTGTTTGCCCCGTGGCACATTTCCTATGTGCTCCGTCCATCACTGCCCAGTTGCTGAGGATTTGGTATTTTAAGTATGTCCGTCAGTAGCCACACTTGTGCCTTTTGGCCTCATCTCGATACACAGCTCTCTAGCCCCGTCTGATTTTAGTTGTCCTGGAGTTGATTTATGCATGTAGCACATGGTTTCTGAATAAATATTGCCTCATGATTAAAGCTATACCTTTCAGGGACTGTTAAGTTACCCTGCCAAACCTTGTGATGGGAAGAATGGCAGCAGACTCCTACACCTTTTTCTGACCGTATCCATGTTAAAAGGAGAGTGCAGAGACTTCCCTGGCGGTCCAGTAGTTAAGACTCCACGCTTCCACTGCAGGGGGCCCGGGTTCCATCCCAGTTCAGGGAGCTAGGATCCCACAAGACTCGTGGGAAAAAAAGAAATAAATAAAAACAAAAAGCATAAAAGGAGAGTGCAGTCTTCCAGAAGGAAATGGGCTTTAATGTCCTGGGATGTAGGGAGATCACAGGCCTTTTTGCTTACCTCTGCATGTTTGATGACGCTTATAGTGTGCCCCCTGGGCGCGGGAAGGAAATAATGACTGGGTGTAGTTTTGTCAAGTTAACATTTAAATGACTGTGGGATGACACCCCAGCTCGGGTCCCGCCATCACCTCTGCCCCTGAGTCTGACGCTGCACAGAAAGTTCTGGACGTTCTGATGTCACCGGAAGCATGGTGAAGAGTTGACCCCGTGTGTCTGTCCCGCAGCACCCCGTGCTCGACGAGCCCATCGCCGAGGCCGTGTGCATCATTGCAGACACGGACAAGTGGAGCGTCCAGGTGGCCACAAGTCAGAGGAAGGCGGTGGACAGCACGAAACTCGGCCAGGACGTCCTGGTCTCAAGCCAGGTGTCCAGCTTGCTTCAGTCCATCCTCCAGCTTTACAGGCTTCACCTCCCCGCCGACTTTGTAAGTATCGTTCTCAGACCATCAGAGAAATGAGCTAAAAAAGCATTTCCGCAGCATCGTGGTTATAAAGTCACGAATTCCTGTGTATTGATTTTAGTCTAACTGGATGTTAGCATCAGTGAAAACAGAGCGTGTGACACAAAACCAGCACACGGGCTGGATTCAGTAGCAATAGTCCTTCTGGAGACAGAGAGCACAGAGTGACACAGTCTTTTTGAACAAGTTACATGGAGAAACAGGTCAGGTATGGGGGCAGGGGTCGAGCATAAAGGGAAATTTAAAATCCTCCTTTGGGGGACTCATTGGTTTTCCCGTCCTCAGGTCAAATGCAAGCCAGCCAGCTTCCGAAGGGACTAGTTCCATCTGTTCAGAGACCATCCTCCCAAAGTTGTTATGGATAAATAGAATATCGTTCGTGTAAACACTTAAAATGCCGAAGCACCATAGCCAAAGGGGATGGTATCAATTGTTGCTTTTCGAATGGGATTTTAAAATCACTTTGATAACGTTACATTAAATACAAACAGTAGACAGACCCCCTAAACTCCAAGAAAATGATCAGCAGCTCTCCCTGAGTCCCTGAAATAATATGCAAAACAAATTCCTGTGCGTGTGTCTGTGTGTCTGTGTGCAGAGAGATCAAGAGAAAATACATTTAGCAAGGAAGGGAGCAAGGTTTCCAGAGCAGAAGCGCAGCTGAAGGGCACGTACAGGGCAGAGCCCCGCGAGTTGGCGGGGCTGCAGCTGGGATGAGCTCACCAGCTTTCTGGACTCCCCCTCCGTCAGCCCCAAACCAAACAGCATCTCCCTTCCAGCCTCCGGCCTCCGCAAAAGATGCAGAGCTATTGACAACCAAGTAGGAGGCTGAATATGAGCCACCTCCCTGGTTGCTCATGGACGGTTTCCCCTGAGCTCTCGTGACCAGATCTGCAGGTGCGCCACACTCCTCGGAAGGTGTCCTTGGAGGAGGTGCTTTGAAACACTGGCCGTCACTTCAGGTGACAGCACAGCGTCACGGGGCGCCACTGGACATCTTGGGGGTCACGTCCGGGCTTTGCCGTTGGTTCGTCGGGCATCTCGGGGGCCGCAGCTTTCTCCTCTGCAAAGTGAAGATGGTACCTAGGCAACAGGCATGTGTGAGAATCCTCCAAGGTGCTGCTTTCTACCTGTCCAAGCTCAGGCGAGATGAGATGCCCTGGCAGCCAGTGGACAGTAGTGGCCAGTCCGTGGGCTTTCAGTGGCCTGGACTCAGACCCAGGCTTCTCTGCTTCTGAATCGTGTGCCTTGTCGAAGCTGGGGCACAGCAGAACCTATCCTGTCTGGTTATAAAAATTAAGTGAGATAATTCAGGTAGAGCACTTGAAGTAGTGTTGGATGTTATACACACTCAGGAAACAGCTACTGTTAGTGTAACTTAGTGAGAACCAGTTGTGTCAACAGTGTTCATGGTTTTAAAGACTGACACCACCTTTTCACTGAAACCTTTATTTGGGCTTTAAACTGTAGGAGGCCTGTTCTCAGGGGTAACACAGAAGGCACCGCCTGTGGCATGTTACAACCTGATGCTTGTTCTACATTTGTAGGCAGTTTTTCCTTCTAGTAGCAACTTGCATCATGCTGATTTAGAGGCCAAAGTCTGCTTTTCTGTAAGGGAAGAGAGATATATTTGATTTTACAGTTTTTTACTGTTATATTTACCAAACTTTTATATTGTATTCTATAATCCATATCTCTTGCTATGTTTGATGCCTTAGTTATCCCAGCAGTAAATTACCACAGTTAATTCTTTTTACTTCATTTAGACGTAAGTTACATATAACTACTTAATAATATGAATGACTTGACAAGATCAGGATCAAAGAACATTTCATCTGCAGTTTAAAATTCTCCTTAAAAGTCACTCGAATGAAACACGTGATTAAAGGCCTGTTAGGACCTTCAGTACGAAAAGAGAAAGTAGGTATTTAAAATTTCAGAAGTTAAAGTTGAAGAAATCCGTCTCAGAAAGGAGGGAGAGGAATCCCAAAACAGTTCAATTTCATAGTCAGGCTTTGAAAAAACTTTCTAAGTGCTCTGATTGCAAGTCCCGTGCACATTTCATATGAACCAATGTTCTGTTTATTTCCGCACTGCAACACACAGTTTTCCTGGGGACTATGAAAACACAGTAAATTCACTATTTTAAAACATAAAGGATTCAACGTAATGTCAGTGTTCTTTTTAATATTTTACAACACTCTTACTAAAACTTTGTATTTGCTCCACAAGGAACTGACACTGAACTGGAGACCTTTCCGCACTTAACTCTGTTTTCCTGGGGGAACATTTTCCCCCAAGAGAATTGGCGAAATCCTCCTTGCTTTGATTATTACTCTTACCCACTTACCAGTTGTGTTTCGTCCACACAACACGATGCACTTAAGATTTTAAGCCAAGGAAAAACGGAAAAGATTGCATCTCGAATGGATACTTTTTCCATGTCACTGATCAGCCCAGGTGGTCGAGATCAACATTTTCAAGTGCATCTGTTAATATTTTTACCTTGAAAATAGCAGGCATAATGGTCTAGAAGAAAATCATGTCTGATGGAGTGACTCTTGTCGGAGCCATCAGGTGACTTACTGAGCTGCCTGGATCGGTCTCCCTGCCAAATGCAAAATCATTTGCCTCTGGTGCAAGACACGAGTGACTGCTGCTCCCTAAAAACGAAGCTGGACACAGTTCCAAGGGTAGAGATGTTCTGAACAAAATTGCCCTTTCTTCATTGTTACTAGAGACCTAGTTAAAATACACTCTTGACAGCAAAAAAGAAAATGGTTCAGAATAACCTTGTTCCGGTCATTCTTCTGGGAATGAATTGCACCAAAATAATCTGAGATATAGGAAAACAAGAAGAAAGGTGCTCTTTACAGAATTATGTATAATAACAAAAATGCAGATGGCTATGTGATTTTAGTAATGGTAAATTCACGTTCTGAAAAATCAGTCAAAAATTATATTGATAAAGAATTTTTAATAACATGGGAAGAAAGGATTATTGGAAAGTTTTTTGAAAGCAAGAAATAAGTATACTTATAGAATGATTTTAACTATGTAGAAACAAATGCTTTTTTAGAAAGGCCAGAAAATATATATGAAGATCTTAACAGTCACTGGAAAAATTAAACTTTATTGTTTTACAAAAACCTATTCTTTTTTATTTTTTTAAATTTTATATTGGAGTGCAGTTGATTTACAATGTTGTGTTAGTTTCAGGTGTACAGCACGTGGTACACACACGTATCTATTCTTTTTCAGATTCTTTTCCATATAGGTTATCAGAGTACTGAGTAGAGTTCCCTGTGCTTTTCGGTAGGTCCTTGTTGATGACAAAAACCTGTTCTCATCCCTGCTCATGGTAGGGTTTGAGCTGGGTTGTAATTCTTGAAGTATAAGTTAAAGAGATGAGATGACAGTAGCGCACTTAGAAATGGATTGAAGGAATTACGGCTCTTAGACGTTGGCAGAGATCCGAGTTCTTGCCCTCACCATGAGCGTGATTGGCTTTGCAGTGCATCATGCACCTGGAAGACAGACTACAGGAGATGTACCTGAAGAGTAAGATGCTGTCTGAGTATCTTCGTGGACACACGCGCGTGCACGTGAAGGAATTAAGTGTCGTTCTGGGGTGAGTTCTGGGGAGTGCCAGCATCCCCCTGCGGGGGGCTGTCCCCTGCGCTCTACCCACTGACCTGTCCAGCCTCTGGGGCTCCCCAGTGAACGGCATGTTTCTTGTATCTGATACTGGAGTGTCACACCTGGAAACACATGCAGACCTTGAAGCTAGTGGTGCCTTGTGAGTCTTCCCCCTGGATTATTTTATCCTTGAAAGTGAAAAGCGTAATCCTACTCCGCCTGCCCATTTCTCGTCATTTCAGTAAGATGTGAGAGTCACGAGCTGTCACACACGCGGCAGCAGCTGTGTTTTCCTTGCTTTTTCTGGAGGAGGCGGGGAAGGCCGTTCCCCTGGACTTGGGGGCCCGTCTGCACGTCCCGGGGTGACCGTACTCTCCTCCGTTTTATTATGAGCCCATCAGAAGAGGAGGCATGCATGTTATCGATAACGTATATCATTTTCCAGAGGCTTTGCCCTAACTTCTCTGGGGGAAGACATTCTGACTTGTGTTTTACTCTCTGCTTAGTTTTCCACAGAGAAGTAACAAAAAAACATCGTGTAGATGATGCATTGTCTCCCCCCCCCCCCGCCACCACTTTGGGGCAAGGAAATACCGTGTATAAAGCGTCAACCCTGAAATTCTCTGTTAAGCCTGCCAACCAAAGTATTATTTCAAGGCTCAGGCCTCTGCATTCCTGTCGGACTTTTCATCTTTCACACCCAGGATATGACTTATACTGTATTGTTTGGCTCTTAGCGTTTCCTGTCACTTTTTTTTTTCTTACATCATTTAAAAAATATTCTCCCCCCCCCTTTTTTTTTTTTTTTTTTAATGGTACGCGGGCCTTTCACTGTTGTGGCCTCTCCCATTGCGGAGCACAGGCTCCGGACGCGCAGGCTCAGTGGCCATGGCTCTACGGGCCCAGCCGCTCCACGGCATGTGGGATCTTCCCGGACCGGGGCACGAACCCGTGTCCCCTGCATCGGCAGGCGGACTCTCAACCACTGCGCCACCAGGGAAGCCCAATATTCTCCCCTTTTGAGGCGTTTGCTTTTGCACTTTTTACTTAGACCTCTTCACCAGCCTCACTGTAGTCCTACCCCATACCCCATCCGGTTGCCGATGCAGGATGTGCAGCTTTTATTTCCAGGACGCTTGCCTGGCCCCTGACTGACAGGTGCCCACCATCAGCACCCCGAGAAGGATGGTGAGGGGGGATTTACCTCCTCGTCGCCAGGCCCCTCAGCGCCTTGTTAGTGGGGGTCCCTCCAGCCCCTCCTTAGCCCCTCCCGTGGTCAGGCCAGCAGCACTAAGGTGCTGGGAGCTCCCTGTCTGCCCTGAAATGAGATCCGGAGGGAGCATTACTGGAGAAGGCATGGAAAACTCCACGAGCTCATGCCAGCTGCCTTTTTAGGTTATATTTTTAATTTTTGGTTTCGGAAATCAAGGGAGAGCATTAGGACATATTTCAAGGACCAAGACTGTCCTGACTTCTCCAGGACGCGGGGCCTTCTGCCCATGCCCACCTGTGACTGTTGGGCACGTGCTCATTGGGGGTCTCGGGCGTGTCAGCCTTGAAGAAATCTCCGGGGTTCTGGAGACGCTGCCACTGTCATGCGTTCCCAGAGACGAACGTGAAGCCGGTGCAGACTCGGGGTGCAGGCCGGGAGGGCTGGCCGGAGGGGGACTCGCACAGAGGCCGCGCAGGGATGCGGGGAACGTAGAGTCACAGGGACAGGCTCCCGTGTCCCCGCCTCGTTCTCTCCGTCATCGGTTCTGGGCACTGACCGGCCAGCCCTGGGGTCCGGCGCCGGGGCCCTTCCCGTAAGTCCTGCTGCTTTAAAGCGACGTCCCCTCCTTTCTCCACCTTCAGGATCGAGTCCAACGACCTGCCCCTGCTGACGGCTGTCGCCAGCACTCACTCCCCGTACGTCGCTCAGATACTCTTATAAGCTGACGCTCAGGACAGCTGCTCCGTGGAAGAAGGATCAGCCGCTCAGCCGAAGGAGGGAGGACAGACGGCCGCTCCCCAGGACCACGAGGCCCGGGCAGGGCAGACGGAGCCGGTCCGGCCGCGCTGGGCCGGGCCAGGCGGCGGTGTGAGCACGTCGGGGCCCAGAAGCGGGGCTGAGACATCTCCGAGTTCCAGCGCGAGCTCCCCAAGCTGGGGAGAGGGGTCCCAGCGTCCTGAGAAGACGGTCAGCGCGGGGACCCCGGGTCAGCGGCCGAGTGAAGCCCGCGCGTGCCACCCTCCGCTCCAGTGGCTGCGGCGTCACCGTCACCGTCACCGTCTGGCGCAAAGCACGGGGGGCCGGGAGCTCCAGGGACCCGCTGCTTCCCCGTCTTGTCCCAGTCTACCGTGTTCGAGGTGCAGCCACGGGTAGGTCAGGGACGGGTCGTTGGTGCGATCGAGGCAGGAATCGGCGCGGCGTCCTCAGCCCGGCCCCGTGTGGTTCCGTGGCAGCTGCGAGCTCGGGCCGGACCCCGCCCGGCTTCTCCAGACGCTTCGCAGCTCTCGGCAGCCTTTCAAGCGGGGCCGTTCACCAAAGTTGGCTCTGTAAGCTGGCGAGTGGTTCTGTGGCTGAACTCCTCCCCGCGGAAGCCACCTTCTTCCTATACTAGTTAATACAAATGACTATTTATACCTTAAAAGGCCCAGCTGTCCGGGTGGGAAATGAAAGCTGCAAGAGTGCAGGATGACTCATGAAAGGAATTCGTTTGAACGTTTGTAAACAATCCAGATATGAGCTGAATTTTTACACTATCATCTCTGTGCCTTCCAATCCCTATGTCCTTTTCAAAACAGCTATCCAGAAATTCACTGCCCCGTAGTATAAAAACCTGCCAAAATGAAGCATTGTTTATTTATGAGCATCGTGTGCTTTTTAGAAATCCTTAATTTTCTGTTGACGTTAACTTTAGTTTACTGACCATCATCCAGGGTAAAGGAAAAGCCTCTTTAAAGGTAAATGGATGGTTGAAAGGCAGGGGGCTAACCCAGTACAGCAGAACTGTTACACCTGCAGATCTTGAGGTCGGTTCGTTGTAATCAGGCTCTGATTTCCTTCTCTTTTATGAATTGATGCTGGTCCTTTCCATGTATAGCCTTTGCACCTCAGAATATGAAACGACTTCCCTTTCAGGAGTTAAGATGACTTCATATTTTCTACCTGATAAAATCCTGATCCCCAAACCCAAGTTACATTCATCTGTGTCTTTACTCTCTGACAAACACACGCGAGTTGTTTGTTTGAAAGAGGAGAGCGGCAGGACCAATGGAGAAACACAGGTGTGTTCTTCCTTTCTTAGGAATAGGTCAGAACTGCAGCCTTCCCCGCTCTTTTTTAATAAATCTTCTTTCTTTCTTGTGGCTGCTCCAGGCGGCTTGTAGCATCTTCGTTCCCCGACCAGGGACTGAACTCAGGCCCTCCGCAGGGAGAGAGCACCGAGCCCTAACCCCTGGACCCCAGGGAATTCCACCCCCCTTTTCTTTTTACGGTGTGAAATGCAGAGAGGCGTGTTGAGGCTCTTAAGATCTTGGATTTGTATCGTATGCCTTTCTCTCATAAAAGTGACGTTGTCCATTCTTTCTACGTTTTCTGTTTCCTCTTGCCTGATGTCTGGCACGAGACGGGTGTTCCGAGTCCTTGGCTCTGTGGCATTGCGGCAGTTGTCACGGACCTCGCCCATGGCCACCCTCTCCCCGTCCGTGCTGAGTGAGGTCACAGCGTCCCCTCTGCACCGGCTTCCAGCACCCGCAGTCTCGGTTCCCTTCTCCTCGCTGACACGTTCTGGGCGCTTCCCCTCCCTCCTCCCCCGACCTTCCAGGGCTTCACAGACAATAACTATGAACAAAAATCAGTGCACGTAGCGGCCGGTGAGCAGTAGACCTGGCCCGGGGGACGCTGAGCTTCAAATGGCCGATTCCAAACTCCACGCATTACAGATGCGGCCCAGCCCCCGGAAGCTGAGGAAACTGGCCTTGCCTCCGCATCTCCTGTCCCCCGCCTCCCCCGGGAGAAGGTGACGGAGGGAGAGCGCTCAGGACCCTGGGCAGCCCCGACCCTCACGGCTGCCGCCTGCACAGCAGACCAGGGATGTGTTGCTGCTCGTTCATAAACCCTCCCCTGGAGGACATCCACCTGTGCTCTCTCCTAAACTCAACCTCCTCCCAAAAGCGGAAAAGAATCTCATGGAACTGTGTTGAGACACACACCGGACCCCACCTGGTGGCTTGGGTCTGTCTTAGCCCAAGAGGCAAGGAAGGGACCCACCCTCGCCCAGGCCCACCTCAAGAAAAGAAACAAAAGTAAAAAAAAAAAAAGAAAAAATGTACAAATAGAGAAAACTACCTCAGTTGACAGGATTCCACCTTTAGGGTTTCTTCAACTTTGACGTCTTACCTGTTGAGTGCACCTTTTGTAGCATCTTGCTTTTCCACGCAAGCTGGGAGGCAGGATAGAGCGGTGTGTGCCCGCGTGACCGTGATGGGCCTCTCTCTAGCATGTCGCGGTTTTATTTTTCATAGACTGACGGGTGATATGAATGTAAAGATCATTGTGTACGTTTAAACATGACAATGAAAACTTAAAATGTAGCTTCCATACTTGTGCATAATTCCAAAGTATTTTATTTTTATCAGTGTTAAATAGCTTTTTGTATAGGCTTCGATCCATTTTTCTGAAGTGTGCTGTTTTTTAATGAAAGTAACTCCAAACTTTTCACATCCCATGGAACTGCCGTTTACACATCGCAACTTTTTAAACTTTCCATATTTTTCAAAGTTAACTTTTTTCGAGGGATGAAAATCCCTGCCTGCTAAGCGATACTAAACTGTTGTTTAGGCCCTTCTAATTACAGCCTGTAGCGTTTTAGTTTCCTCACTAGAGTTGGTTGTACATAAAAATAAAGAATATAAAGTGACCCCACGGTTCTTTTAAATATCTGGATTTTTCCACTAACACATACTTTTGAAAGTATTTTGTTCATGCATATTTTCACCAATAAACTGAAAAAGCCTTTAGCTTCTCGGTAAATGTGAACCATTTGTTTTCTCTTGTGCTTTGGCAGAGGGGACCTTTTAATATACTGTTTGCCTAAATCAAGCAGCCCCCTCTGAATGTTAATTTTTAAATGTCCATCTTTGGTGAACCGTGTATCTTGAAAGCAAGATTGCAATATGCTTAAATTTAAGTGGTTTAAAAAGGAGAAAATTCTGGGATTGATTTGTTACTACTGAAGCTCCATTAAGACAAATTGGTAGGACTTGATGTTTTTGATCAGTTAAATAGGTATCAATGGCAATGTATGGAAATTTTTTTTTTCAAACTTGTTCACGTATTATTTTGACCCATTCTTATGTGGCATTTGGTGCAATAAACCTTCTGAATTTATCTTGAACATTTTCCTGGTACTGCCTATGATGTGTTTGTTACGTTTAATCAGACTTAGACGTCTCATTTCCGGTAATTCATGCTGACACAAGCCCACTGTGTATGTCAGTGACTCTCAGCGGGGCTGTTTGGGAAACGTAGGGCCTCTTTGGTGAGCATGGTGGTGGGCAGGGGCTCCTGGCACAGGGTGGGCAGGGGCTGAGGGGGATAGGAGAACATCTTGTCACGTGCAGGGCACCCCGGAATGAGGCGTTATCCCACCTCCCGTGTGACTCACAAATATCCTGCTGACATTCAGGTGGGTGAAAGCCTTAGTTTATAATGAGCTAAGCTGAGAATTTAATTTTGCGTTACATACAAGCACAACGCATTTCTCTCATGAGCTTACTATACGCTGAATTTTCCAGGAATGCCACTGTTGTATATAAACTGAGGCGAGGTTTTACTTTGTAAGGTTGAGGATTTCAGCAAGAACTGACATGCATTTGGAAAAGCCTATTTACCCGTAGCTGTGCTCCTCATGAAGTCTGTCACCAGCACAGTGTTCCGTATCATCTCTGCTTGTAGCGGCTGCCTTCGTGGAGATTCCATCCAGGAGTGAGTATCTGCTTTGTTCATTATATTTTCTAATCTACTAGTGCCCCAATGTCTGTGTATTAAAGTATATGTTAATATAAGTTGTCAAACAGTACAACTAGGGCATTATAGTGGTTTGTTATAAGTTATGTGTGTAAGGTTATTCTGTTGATGAATCTTGTGAATTTTATTTTAGGAAAATAAAGGGCATTAGAAAATATTTGCTATGAAATGTATCACTGATACATACGGCCTCAGGAAACATATGCTATGAGGTGTAACTTTTGTAGCTACATAAGACCATACTGAATCCTGTTGTTTGCAGAATACAGGAAGGAGTAATATTAGGTATTGCTAAATCCTTTTTGGATTAAAGGTAAATTTCAAGTGTTTTTCATGTTCCCTTTAAAATCACGCCATTGAGAAAGCCCTGACACACACATACACACACACACACACACACACACACACACACACACACACACACACCACATTGCTTCTTGGTTCTGTCGGATGCCTGATATATGTCACCTCATTTGATCCTCACACCTGGATGAGGTGGGTATTATGACAGCTAATCTGATGTGTCACCTTGGTTAGGCCACGGTACCCAGATACCTGGTCTAACGCCCGTGTGACGTTGCCGTGAAGGCTTTTTAGATGACAGCAACACAGATGAGTCGGCTTTGAGTAAAGCACGTTACCCTCCATACGGTGGGGCGTCTCCCCGGTCAGTTAAAGGACTTCAGAGAAAACAGACTGAGATCCCCTGAAGAAGAGGAAATTCGGCCTCCCCACGGCCTTCACACTCGTGCCTGGGTCTCCAGCCTGCTGGCCTATGTGCAGATTTGGGGTCTGCCAGCCTCCACAGCCATGTGAGCCAATTCCTTAAGAGAAGGCTATCCATCTGTCTGTCTCTATGCATCTGTCCATCCATCCACCACCCATCCATCCATGCATTTGTCCCTTCATTCATTCATGTCTATCTATCTCTCCATCAATCCACCCACCCATCCATCCATCCACCCACCCACCCACCCATCCATTTGTCCCTTTATCCATTTCATCTATCTCTCCATCCATCCATCCATCCGTCCCTTTACCCATCCATTTGTCCCTTTATCCATTCATCTGTCTGTCTCTCCATCCATCCATCCATCCATCCATCCTGTCGGTTCTGTTTCCCTGGAGAACCCTGACTAACATAGGTACTTAAGATATCGGTCCAATGACATCCATGAGGACCCAACGAAGCAGTTGGGAGTCAGAATATTGTCACACCAGGTTATTGGAGGTTGACTTTAAAGCAAAGATCTTTAACATAGTGAAGAGTACAGACTTCAGAGGTTCCACTTAGATAAGTCACATAGTCTCTGAACATGGGATGCAAAGAGGGTGCTGCAGAACGGGAAGAGCCTAAATTAGGACAACCGCTGAGACAGCAGAGGAGGAGGTACCAGCTCATTCGTGGTGGGAGAGAGGAGATTAATCCCCACTGCTGTGCCTCGCCCTCTGTGTTCTTGGGGACCTCAGGCCAGCAGTCATCGTCCCTTTCTCTCACCTTCAAGCACTCAGTCTACCGACCTTCCTCCTAGGCCCCTGCCTCCACCCCTCACCTCACAAGGTCAGGTCCATCAGCCTCCCCTGGCTCCTCCCATGGTTACTGAGGTCTTTCCCCACATCAGTCGGCACCCAGAGCTGCTGAACTTGCACTCTTTGGGTGCCAAGTGCATCACCTGCTCTCCTTGCTCTTTCCTTCTTTCAGTCCTTCCTCATTCTCACCCGAGTTACCAAAGTGCCCTCCAAACTCACCTCCCTTTTGTAGCAACACTTCTCACCAATCTTCCTCCAGGCTGATGTCTAACTAACCTTCCCAAAATGAAAGTTTAATCCTGTCACTTTTGTTTAAAAGTTGGCCCAGGAAAATCCAAGCTCCTCAGCACCTGAGCCCCCTCCTCTGGCCTCAGCACCGGACACCCACCTCTGCAGGCTGCTGGTTACCTAAAGGCGCGAGCTGATCACTGCCTGTGCCCTGTCAATCCTTCGTCCTGGTTTCCCACTCCCTTCTGCTCCATCAAGGCCCCCCCGTTCTGGCTCAAAATGCAGCTCGGGGCAAATCCTCCAGCGCCTTGCTACTCGGCATCCCTGGATCAACCAGAGCCGCCTCACCCGGGAGCTTGACGGATGTGCAGAATCTCAAACCCTGTCCCAGACCGACTGAACCAGGATCTCACCTTAATACGATCCCCAGATGACACATATGCACATTAAAATCTTGAGAATCACTACTCCCACACCCAGTGTGAGTGAGTGAGTGGGTGAGGGAAAGAACATATCAGTTACTGAGATTATGTCCATGTTTTGGAAGCAAGGGGGGCAATGAAGATATTTGCAACAAAGAAATGAAATAGAAATGGATCACGATGTTGAAACTGCCTCATATACACATAAATTTCACGACACTTAAGTAGCTATTATTTATGTGGAGAAAAAAAGGTCAACCCAAAGAAGGGAAAACAAATGTAATAGAAGATAGAACTTCAGAGACATTTTGTGACTTAAAAGAAGAAATTTGGGGAAATGTAGAAAAACAGTTTCGAAATTTGCCCAATTGATTTCCAAAATCATTTCTAAGAGCATTTTGGGTAATGTATACAAGAATTATACATACTGTTAAATACCATAAATTGCACTTCTAGAAAGTTTTAGAAACTTTTAGAAATTAATCTCTAAACTTAGGTTTATAAGAATAAATCCAAACTCAACAACGTGAATATAAAATATCCCCATTTTCAACTATCTATCTTGATGAGAAAGCATTGTGATATTGTGGGTTGGATTATGTGTTTAAAATTTTCCCCAAACCCCCCAATACCATTGGCAAAGTTTTGTTTTTCCAAGGCTGCTTCCAGTGCATGGTTCTGATTCTCGCAGCATGAGGATGGCAGATGGGCTGCGTCTCAGGTGAGTACAGTAACAGGAGCCACGCACAGGTGGCTGGTGTGACGCTTATGCTGGAAGCTTGAATTTATCATTTGCTCCGAGTTATCTTCCCCGAAGAGAATTTATGTAAAGTAGGGGGGAGGGCTTGAGTACTTAGTGAAGTGTCAGCCACGAGAACCCTGTGGGATGATCCAAAGGATGGACTTGGGGAACAAGTTTCTAAGGTATCTCTGGAATTAAGTAGAAAGCCGGTGCACGGGTGCGGCGCGCTGCGGGGCGGCCGACGCAGGCAGAAGCGGGCGTCCCGGGGACGTCCGGTCGGCGCCGCGCGGAGCGGGCAGCGGGATTGGCTGCGGCACTCGCGTGTCAGGGGGTTGCTAGGCTTCGGTCGCGCGCCCCGCCCTCGCGCTCCCTCACCGCCCGGTACGCGCTCGCGCCGAGGCTGCGGTGCGGCGCTAGAGCTCCTCGGTTTAAAAAAAAAAAAAAAAAAAAAAAAAAAGCCTAAGCTGATAAAAAAGTTTATTTTGAATGATACGGTATTTTGTTTCTCTCTGAAAGGGAAGAGGTGTAACCAAGTGATCAGTTACCCTCACCAATGATGAGTTAAACTCACGTCAAGTGCCTCTTTGATGTGATACCCTGAGGATGACACGGCATCACTCACCTTGGGATTCCTGCGCAAAACACATCACCCGAGGAAATAGCAGGTAAACCTGAATTAAGAGGTATTCTACAGAACTGGTCTGAATTGTTCAAGAATGTCAGTGTCATGAAAGACCAGGACTGAGGAGCTGTTCCTAATTGAAGGAGACTAGTGAGGTTTGAGGACTAAACGTAATACCTGGTCCTGGATAGGACCCTGGATCAGGGAAAATGACAAAGGACATCGCTGGGTCAATTAATAAAATTTGCTTATAAACTATAGATAAGGTAATATTGTATCAGTGCTAAATTTCCTGGATCTTATCATTGTACCATGGTTAGGTGCGAGAACGTCCTTGTTCTTAGGCAATGCACCATGAATATTTAGGGGTAAAGCAAAACCACGTCTGCAACTTACCTTCAAATGGTTCAGTAAAAACCAGTGTGTGTCTGTGTGTGTGTGCGCGCGCGCGTGTGTGTAGAAATAACGCATTAGAATAAAATGAACTGATGATTCTGAGTGAGGAGTCTGTCAGTTCACTTAGTACTGTTCTTGTGCTCCTGTAAATTTGGAGTCATTTCAAAATCAGCCTTTTAACAGATTTTTTTTTAATGCACAAAGACATCTCAATTGGATTTAGTGAATGAGAGATAGTAGGAGGAATTTGGGACGGTTTAATCCATGATCTCTCTAATCCTACACAAAATTAGTTCAGGTGGAAAATAATCCAAGACTCCTTCACACACACTGCAATAAATCTCACGTGGACCCAGCTCAAAATTCAGACCACATAGGAATGTCAGCAGCTGAACGCTACCTTCTTCAATACAGAGCATCCCTGGGGCAGGACCTACCAAGGAGGACGTCCACGGCTCCTCGCAGAGTGTTTCAGATGGATATACAGTTAACTGTCAAACAGACATCTCCTGATGAACAGATCTCTGGCGACAGAGGGTAAGCAATGTTCTAGGGCAGTGGCAAGGTTCTCCAGCGGAGCAAGGAGCCTCTCTCCATGTAGGGAACAGGAGCCTCTAAGTGTATTCCCTTTTCTATCACGGAAGCTTGTTGTCACACTCAATATTGAAACGCTGGATGACTACAGAGTGGATTCGCTGTGGCATTATGCAGAAGGACCTCAGGAAATAGTTGTCCATTTGAATACATGCTTACACACTCTTTACTTGAGTCTCATGATAACTCTACAAAATATTCAGGACAGATACTAACATCCCCATTTTACTAATGGAAAAACCCACATCGGGAAATATGCAACTTGTTCAAGATTCCATAGATAGTAATGGGGAAAAAAACCTTGAATTTGAACTGGTATATTCTTACTCTGCTAGGCAGTCTGTGGGGTGTTTTTTTTTTTTAATACATTTATTTACTTATTTATTTATATTTTTGGCTGCGTTGGGTCTTCATTGCTGCGCACGGGCTTTCTCTAGTTGCGGCGAGTGGGGGCTGCTCTTTGTTGCAGTGCGCGGGCTTCTCACTACGGTGGCTTCTCTTGTTGCAGAGCACGGGCTCTAGGTGCGTGGGCCTCCGTAGTTGTGGCACGTGGGGTCAGTAGTTGTGACTCGCGGGCTCAGTAGTTGTGGCTTGCGGGCTCAGTAGTTGTGGTTCGTGGGCTCTAGAGCACAGGCTCAGCAGTTGTGGCACACGGGCTTAGTTGCTTCGTGGCATGTGGGATCTTCCCGGACCAGGGCTCCAACCCGTGTCCCCTGCATTGGTGGGCAGATTCTTAACCACTGCGCCACCAGGGAAGCCCAGTCTGTGGGGTTTTAAGAAGCGTTATAGAGTTAACTCCATCTCACAGACTGCGAGTTTTCTCAGGTTTTGGAAACTGAGCAGATGGCTGTGCTCTCCAGGTTAAACCATGTGGTAAATAAGCAGTTCTAAGGACTGAGCCCCACACCTCCTGTTTTCTGTAGCTATAAAATGGGAATAATACCCACCCAGTCCCTATACGGACATCACTGTGGAAATGCAATATGAGTTACAAAACGTTCTGATAGGTTGAAAGGAGCTATAAAACTCATTATTCATAGTACTGCTATTAAGGAGCGTTCTCTAACGCACACGTTAAGACAGCTTGACTTTTTCTATGATTCCGAAAAGCAAATGATTGTACCTCCTGCTCTTTTGGTAGCTTTGACAGCTTAGGCGGTCTGGAAACTCTTGGCAATGCTACCTGGCTCTGCCGGAGGAGGACGGCCCGTTTGGAGTTCCTTTGATTGGTGTCCTCATAATCACCCATATGCCAGGCAATGAAACCACGACTGAAGCTTCCTTCTGCGTCCATAACAGAAGGATTCGGCTGCCTGAAATAGGAACAAATCGGTTGGTTCTCAAATCGGAAAATGGTTAGAAATAAGGCCACCGGTTTTCAGATAGTTGAGATCTGTCTGCGTCTGTTGTGATTGTGATGACTTCTAGCCCTGGAGCTTGGGAAAGCTAAGGCCCTGAGCCCTCAGCCAGTGTCCTGAGAAGCTTCTGGACTCTGCCCCTCCACTTCCCTAGACATCCAGCTGCTGGAGATGCAGGGAACTACCTGCACAGGTGGACACTTATCCAGGAAGCTTGTTGATGACATCACCCTGGTACCACGACTGCTCCTGGCATCCTTTAGAGCCGAGTAGGCAAGATGCTGGGAATTTGGGGGCAGGCCGAGGCCTTGAGTTCTCCTGCAGGACACGCCTGTCGGGTTTGAGACTTCGGGGGATTCAGGGAAAAGCCAGCTTGGCGATGACAGAATCTGACTTTGGACAGTGCGTGGGAGGAAAGATCCAGGCTTCACTCTCTTTCCCCAGTGAAATCACGGTCTCCGTTCCAACGCCCCTTACTTAGACTATTATCTGAGGACTGCTTCCCCATTGAAAAGGGCCAGGTCTGGGGGAAAGGACAAGAAGGATTGTAGGATAAGGATTTGCCATCTCTTTTGGAAGGCTGTTGTCCCCCAAGAGAGCTCGTGGGGCTTCTTACCTTCACGTAAGAAGCAGACCTTCATTCTGTTTTATGGCCAAGTAATATTCCATCTTGTTTATCTGTCCACCAGTGGATGGATGTTTGGGTTGGTTCCACGTTTTTTTCTACCTAGGACTAGAATTGTGGGGTTGTATGGTAATTCTATGCTTAGCTTTTTGAGAAACCACTAAACTGTTTTCCATAACAGCTTCACCATTTTACACTAACACCAGCAACGTAGGAGGGTTCTAATTTCTACACATCCTCATCAACGCTTGTTATTGCCTTTTTTATTTTACCATCCAAGTGTGAAGCAGTATCTCATGTGGTTTCCATCTGCATTTCTCTAATAACTAATTATGTTAAACGTCTTTTCATGGGTTTACTGACCACTCGTGCATTTTTGGAAAGCTGTCTATTCATACCTTTTGCTGCATAATTTTATGCAGTTGTCTTTTAAATCATAGGGAAAAAAAAGAGTTAAAAACCAAAATACATTAATGCTGACTTTTTTTTTTTTTTTTTTTTTTGCGGTACGTGGGCCTCTCACCATTGTGGCCTCTCCCGTTGCGGAGCACAGGCTCCAGACGCGCAGGCTCAGCGGCTATGGCTCACGGGCCCAGCCGCTCCGCG